GAGAAACCGCTAGCGCTCATACAGGTAACGTTCTTCTGTCTTGTGTGCATTTGACATAGTGACATAGACATACTTTTATTCACCAAATTAAAGTCGTGTCCACAGTTGATGGTCAAGACAGTAACTTTAACCTGGCAATAACACTGGACATGTCAGGTTGTCAAATGGCATGATGTGCATTATTTAGAAAACATGCTATTTTAATCAAACGTGCTCTGCTTTCAAACATTTCTACTTGGGAAAATGCATTACCATTTAAAACTTTGGGGCCAGTAAGATTTTTTCCAAAATAAGTGTCTTCTGCTCACCAAGACTGCATTTATTTGATTAAAAATGCAATAAAACTGTGAAATATTATTGTGATTTCAAATAGCTTTTTTCTATGTGAATGTTCGAATGTAATTTATTTCTATGTTCAAAGCTGTATTTTCAGCATCATTCCTCCAGTCTTCAGTGTCACATGATCTTCAGAAATCAGTATAATATGCTGATTTGCTGCTCGAGAAACATTTCTGATTATTATCAATGTTGAAAACAGTTGTGCTGCATAATATTTTTGTGGAAACTGATACATTTTAGTTTTCAGGATCCTTTTGTAACATTATAAATGTCTTTACGGTCACTTTTGATCAATTTAATGCATCCTTGCCAAATAAAATTATGAATTTAGCTCAAATATCTTATTTACCCCAAACTTCTGAATGGTGGTGTATGTGTGAAAACATTTTGAAGAATAATGATTAAGATGTGCACACTCATGTACTTAAGGTATGAGGAAAATATTTACTTTTTGTTTTATGATGCATGACATTACATCTTTTAAAAATTGAATTGGATCATTAAAACCTTGACTAAAAACAGTATGAAAGTGTCAAATTGTACAAGAAACACTTGTGCGCATTTTTAAGAATTTTTTCAAATGTGTTGTAAACTAGATTTTTAAAAATGTCCTTTTCCTGATGTTTATCATTTGACCCTTGTATTCCGTTCATCTCATCTTTATCGTAGATTGAAGAACGAGCCATTCAGGACCTGTTACTCCATTACAAGGCCATTAATAACCCAGAGGAGCTGATATTGGTGGAGAGATCCCCTCAAGGTCCAGTCGCCATCCCCACCTGGAACAAACGCTGATGCTGATGCTGAGGTTACAGTGATACTCATGACTTCCCGCTCACGTTTCAGGCAGTATTAGGGTGCATCACAAGCAGTGTTCTGCTTTCATCACCTTATTCTGCAGTAAGCACACTCACATTCTTTGACTGCTTACTTTTACTTTCTCTATGCTTTTTTTCTCTCATTAATTTTCTCTTAAGGAAAGACTGGAATATGAAGTGTAATCTACTGTTGTCAGCCCAGAGAGTAGCCACATGCTTTTTTTTTTTTTCATTATATGATGCAGTGGTGAGGTGATCTGCATCT